GGGGGGTATTGTGGCCAGGCTGGGCTGTGGTAATGGGATTCAGGGATTCGGGATGAAATCGGGAAATTGGTATATTTCTACTGGATTTCCCACTTGCAGACATATTCTCCCTCGAACCCCGCAATATATGTCAATTCCATTTCCGTTTGTCCGGAGTGAAGCCTTATCTGCCCCCCTACTCGACGGCAGCCCGCCCCGCCCGGGTGTACTACTGATGAGAGATGTGGTGGCAAGTAGTTGTGCATGGTTCGGAGCGGGACGGATGTGTCGGCGCCGTGTGGACTCGGCACGCGTTCGCCCTTAGTCGGGCCGGTCGAAGGCAATTGCGGGCAATCACAAAAGAGGCTCTCGGCCGGGGGTTCCCGCGGCGGCGCCGATTTGTAAAGACCTCAAAACCCCCGACCAGCTGCCAGGCTGCGCGCCGGCGTCGTGGTGGCCGCTCGAGGGCCTCCAAAGCGCAGTCGCGCAGTCGTTGTAGAGCCCCGCGCCCGCGTGCCCTGATGGAGGCCCTGCTGCTCGCCGTGCTGATCCTGTGCTGCGCAGCGCCCGCCAGGGTGGTGCGGGCCGACCTGCCCGTCGTCGTCGGGGGCTCGGCGCCCCCGGAGGCCGAGGCGGCCGCCGCCCTGCTCACGCCGTTGGCGGAGCCCCAGAAGGCCACGCTCGTCGTGATGAGCGACTCGAGCTGGGCCGCCGCCTTCCTGCGGGAGCTGTCCGCCGGCGTCCCGCGGGTGCTGAGCCCCGGGTGGGTCGCGCTAGCCCGTCGCTTCGACCCCCTCCTGGAGAACGTCCTGATGGCGCAGCGCTGCGTGACCCTGGTGACCGCGGAGGGGCTGGAGGACCTGCTCACCACGGTGAGGACCTTCGGCGCCCCGAGGGTGACCCGCGTCGTCTTCTGGTCCTCGGTGAGCTCGCCGCGAGACGGCGTGCTCCAGGTCGTGTCCCGCACGGGCTTGTGGCTCGGGGGTCGCCAGTACGTCCTCGCGCTCACCGCCCCCGACGGCAGCACCGTGCTCTACAGCCTCAACTGCTTCACCAGGTGGACCTGCAACAACGCGGTCATGACCATCCGGGAGGTGGACGAGTGGTCGCCTGGGCTGCGGCGCTGGCGCCGGGGAGCCGCCCCGTTCCGAGAGTTCTGCAGCGGTTGGCGGCCAAGACACGGCCAGGGCCAGTCTCTCAACGTGTCCCTGGTGTCGGCGCGAGGCTTGTCGCCCAGGTCGTCGCTACTGGATCTGGCAAATAGCCTCGCGCGCTTGGCTGGCCAAGACCGACGGCTGCAACGCGTCGGTCTCGGACCCCACACGATTTACAGAGAAGCGATAGATTATGCCGAATTGGCCTCGCGCTTACATGAGTGCTCTGTGGACGCGGTCGTTGCAGACACACCCCTCGACGTCCTGAGAGTCCCGACGGAGGCCATAGAGGTCTACGACCTGGAGATGACCCACGTCGTCGCCATCGTGCCCGCGGGCTTCGGCGCCAGCGTCAGCGTCCTGGACGCGGTCACGGTCGAGTTCTCCGCGGAGGTGTGGTGGGCCACGGGGCTGGCCATGTTGTGCGCGGCGGTGGTCCTGGCGTGCGCCCGGGGGCAGGACGTCAGCGGCGCGGCGCTGCAGGTGCTGGCGCCCATGGTGGGTCAGGCGCCGCCGCCGCCCGCCCCGCCCCGGCCACCGCTCGCCCCCTGGCTGCTCGCTTGCGTCGTGCTGACCGCCGCCTACCAGGGCCTGCTGCTGGGCAAGCTGTCCACGGCTGTCCCCCGGCGCGAGCTGGACAGCCTGAGCGACGTGGTGGACAGCGGCCTGCCCGTTCACGTGGATCACATCCTGTCCTGGCGCCTCACGGGTAAAAATGTTCTCCCCGAGAATCTCACCGCCGGCGGTAAGTTCGTCGCGCTCACCGAGGTCGAGACGATCATCGACACGATCGCCACCGCTCGCAACTGCGCCTTCGTCCTCCTCCTGAGCCGACGCGCCCAGGACTACGTGCAGCGCTACCTCGTGCCTCCCAAGAAGGTGCACCTCGTCCACCTGGCGTACTCGGACCGCAACGTCATCGGCATGGCGACGAAGGGGTCGCCGCTGGCGCGCGCCCTGACCTCGCTGCTGGCGCGCGTGGACGCGGCGGGGCTGCTGACGCACTGGCGCAGCGCGGAGTTCGAGCGGGAGCGCCAGGATCGCGCCAAGAGGCTGGTGGCGCTGCAGGGCCCGCGGCCGCTGACCCTGTACCACCTGGGGCCGCCCTTCGTCGTGCTGGGCGTGGGCCACGTCGTGGGTCTGGCCGTCTTTGCCCTCGAGGCCGTTTGGGGCTGGATGGCGGGGCCCCGTGCCTCTTGCCGGCGCTCAGCCTCAGCCCGAGCATGAGGTGTGCTGGCCCGGCTGGGGACGACGCCCGGTTGGTGGGCAGCCCACCTCACGCCCCAGTACGGTGCGCTGCCTGCGGAGTAGGCAACCCATTCGACAGCGTCTGGTGTCCTCCTCACTGCACCATTTTTTGAAAATGTGAACTGCAACATTTCAGCTCAGCACCGTGTGTTGTTCGACAATAACGCCTGCAGGTCCTAGGTTGGGCCACCCGCACAGCTCAGCTGCACTCCACGACATGGTTGCCTAACCAGCAGGCGGTAGCTGCTCATAGATCGATCGATCTTTCTTTCTTTCTTTCTTTCTTTCTTTCTTTCTTTCTTTCTTTCTTTCTTTCTTTCTTTCTTTCTTTCTCGTAATCAAGCTTGTATGTAAGTTTCT